ATCTCTTTCACTTATCTAGGCGGTGATTTTCCAACTACAGGCGCCACAGATGAGAACGTCAAAGCCAGCCAGGATCGGTAAGGCATGAAAGTCAGTCGTTACTCTGAAATCACTGTAGAGATTTACTAAACACTGCAGTGGGAAGAAGATTCAGATTTCCAACGGCAATGTCAAATCAGTGCTTCCATATCGTTCAGAGGCTTGGTGAACGCGTCGCGACGAGCATTTCCGACAGTCTACAGAACTTCATCAATAGCTCTCTTCACTCAGTGCAGAAGATCAGATAGCCAGTCAGAAAGGGTGAGGAACAAGGAACTAACTAATAACCTATTGCTCAACAAATAGGCTGAAGGAATCGGAGCTTAGGAGTGGACAAACTCTGAGAATACCGTTCAGTGACATCACGCACCTAGGTCCTAGTTTGGAACCTGAATGGGAAACGACAAGCTGTTTGTGGGTCCGAGGTTGATATGGGAGAGATCGTGTGAGGAGGACATGAAAACTTATGGGAGCCAGAGAAAAATGACTGCAGAGAACAGAGTGAAATGACCATGTGTTGCTGAAGTCCTCTGTTTTAGTTGGAATGGAAGGGAATCATTATAATCACCGTCATCATAATTCAACAGGAAATTCAGGATGTTAATTTCAAGGACGTTTTTGGCTATAAATTCGACGCCATCATCTCCATAAAGCTAAGATATGCTGTACAAATATTGTCTTTTATTATTGTTATTATTCCCTTGGGTTCCGAGTGGAAAATAAAGCTTCAACAACACATCTCCACTTTGTCCTATTCTTTTCTGCCTTCTTCATCTGACCGCAGGACTGGCCGTAATCTCTCATCTCCTCCTCGCACGATATTCTCTATGGCACTCTAGGACCACCCACTCACCGCTTCCCATTGGAATTCCACTCGAGCTATGGTCTGGAGCGCGACGTCATTCGACGGTCCTCTCAACATGTTATTTATTTTTTGATTACAGCTTGATTCCACACCGTATTTTTTGGTACAGGTATGGAATTTTCAGCATGTGATATCGGTAGACCAAATCTTGCAGGCCAAACATAGATATCAGGTGTGCGTAGACAGGGGATCGAACCCCGGACCATTTTCATGGTCGGTGAGAGTCCTAACCACTGTGCCCGATTCATCTCTATTTCTTTCTATATATTTGTTGAGCAATAGGCTCTTGGTTGGTTCGTTGTCAGTCATAGTTTGTTGGTGCTGGTTCTTTCCCACTGGCCATCTGATCTTCAGTATGGAGCCAGATGTTCGTAAAAGTCCTCAGTAGCCTGTTGTGACGCACGTGCCAAGTTCCTAGGCCATATAAGAGAACTGACTGACTTAATATTGCTGTTGAACATTTGAATTTTGTTGTTTATACTAAGTGCAGTGAGAAGTTTAAATCTTCTTGTCAGCTGAATGTCATGCCTTCTCCTTGCTCTCCAGTGTTCCGTATGACCCAGTCCACTACAATGAGTAATATCATTGAAGGCAGCCTTGTCTTCACTTCAAAGGATATTAGAATGTAGGTTACGCTTATCCGGAGTACGTCTAACATTGTCTAAATGGCTTTCACAATATATTGTTAATCAAATACATTTGACATCTAGTTCAAGTGAAACCTTATTATGACATTAATAGCTTAGCGAAAATACCGAATACCACTATCCCTCTCAGTGTAACATGATTTAAAAGGCAATGTTGTGGTTCACTGGCTAGGCGGCTCTCGAATTTTCCTCCAAAACATTACCAACTGCATGGGGAGACACATAGTTGCTGAGATAAACAAGTTATGCACTGTTAAACTTTTTGTATACTTCAATAAGATGAATAAGAGAAGAAGTAATCAGTGTTAAATCACCTCAATCTTTTTTTGTCACAGACAGTGACAACCACCAAGCTTGTATATTTCATATTCCTTTTCCAAGTTTTATCTTCAACATTCCATTTCAAGACTAATGGAATACTGTGCTAATGTGTGAATATTCTTACACCTACACGTCTAAAGTGTTCGTGAAACAATGAGACATTTGGGCTTGTTTGTTTAGTTTCTAATCTAGTTAGCATAAAAATGCTGCACGTGATGGCTTAATATATATATATATATATATATATATATATATATATATATATATTTATCGGAGCATTTAGTAGGAATAACTAATTGTAGGTACATACATTAGGTATATCCTACTCTAATGCTTTATTTGCACACCTTTTGGAAATTGGTCGAATATCACCATATTCGATAGCTTGTTGAGTTCTGCAGTAATTCTAACGTTCTTTTCAAAGTTCTGTTCTTCGATTGCTTTTACCAGTGTGGGAAATATATTGTTGCTTTTCTAAACTCATTTACTGGTATACTACTTATATCTGATTATAAGTAGCACCCACCACACTAATACTACTGCAATTCTTCTTGAATTTGTGTAATTTGCTTTCTTACTGCAGAAATTACTTTTAATTCAAATCCAATACAGTACAAATACATTTGGGCTTTTGATATGATAGCAGGGATTAGCACATGATAATGGAGAGTGACACTAATGGTAGGTAGATAGAACTAGCATTCCAAGGTAATCGTAGTGATTTGAACATATTATGAAGTGGTAAGCAAAACAAATCAACGTCGTAGTCCTATGTCGTTTTGATGAGAACAAGTGCTATTGTATGCGAGTGACCAGACAATGAATACAAACAACTTAAAAATCCTTTATGAAGCGATACAGACTTACTTTCTGAGAATTAAATACAGATTGTCTTCACCACCTTGCATAGTAAGAACTTAATTTAGTGGAAATGTAAAGTATTGAGTCCAATAGGCAAGACTTCGTATTAGGTGATTGGGATCTTTTTTTGTAACACCACGCGTTGTACCAGTCTCTTACTCACTGAAAGTTTCCCGTTCATAATAAATAAAAATCACTATTTAAAAGTGTTACCTCCACCCGAAAACGCTAGACTCGTTCATAAGGTATTCTGCACTTTATTTCTTCCTTATCCCTGATCACACAATGAAAGCGTTTTCTGTAATTCAAATGAACTGTCGTCAAGATTTGACAGAATAGTTCTAAAATATTTTAGCGCCGAGTGAGAAATAGACATTTGTAAAATCTCAGCGATACTGAAACGTTGGAATTCCTCATTTCAATATCGCTGAGATTTTACAAATATAATTTTTTACAAATGTCGTTTTCTGTAAGCCTCAAAATAGCAATACTGTTTTCGTAAATAAAACTTGAGAAAATAAGGCTATTATTTTCTGAACTAATTCAAGTGACGTGAATATGTACTGCTAAAGACTGCCAGATTAGGGCGAAAAAACTGTTCACTGAATGGTACTGATTCTTGACGAAGTTCAAACTTAACTAGTAAACATTATCAGTCATTCAAATATTAAGCATCGGATGCACAGCAATAAAAGTAAGAGAAAAATATGTATGAAACAGCTTTAATGATTCTGTGATTTTAAAGAAAGCAAGAGACATCGAATGCAGCAGGATAATGAGTGCTCATTCTCTTTAATTGGCTCACTTCTCCCAATGAATTGACTGGGAATCTTGTGTGCAATGGGAGTGTGTGTGAGAAGTCATCACTTCCCGGTCGCCCACACCGTGGAAGTTAGTTTCTCTTTGAAATATATGAAACGGAAGGGGTATTAGTGGTGCGTGACCACAAAGCTCGTGGGACAGCTACTTGAACTGTTTGTTCTTACTGGCACGATTTAAGTCGGGATATGCAACTTATTCTAACCCCTTCACCCCAGAGGTAGTATCGCTGGTCGTCTAAGTGAAACACCTAAATGCTGCTGCATTCCAATTCGCAAACAGTAAAATATAGCCCATAGACCTCAAACATAACGTGAATGACTCATATCATGATGGCAACTGGTTTAAGTCTAACCGCTATCCAAATGACTTTTCTGAAATGATAGGACCTATAGAAATATTCTCTTAGTCATTGTAGTTTGTTGGGTCATTGTGACATGCAAGCTTCACTGCCACATCAAAGCAGCAGCAATCGGTTGGGTCGCAATGACTTGCAAGGAGGCAAATATACTTGAATGAAGCTTACACCATGACATAGAAGTAGATCCACTACATATGCCTAACAATCCAGTCTATGCTTCCTCGTGACCAGACAAATATATCTATGGAATTGCTATAGGAGGTTAATCGTTTGGCAAAGTCTCTGACTACCGCACTGGTTGACACAGGTTCGAATCTCAGAGACGATATCTATCAAGTCCTTCAAGATTGCAGATAAGCCTTGCTGATGCATCCAAACAAACAAGACGGGCTTCCTTCTGAATGCCACCGTCAACTGTCCTACAACACTTTCTTTTAACAATGCTCTCTATCTAACCTGCAGCTGAATGTTTAAAAACACCTGATGGAAGACAAAACATCCAGATTGCCTGCATGCTGATGAATAATCATAGGACATACCAACCAGGTGGCAATTTCAGTCACACACACACACACACATCTGACTACTGGGTGTTTTACTTTCCTGTTTTAGAAGTTGTACATCACTGATTATTAGTTAGGCGCTGAACGAGCGAAACGGCAGTCAGGTGTGTTTAGATCACTTCGATCTCTGTCTAGCAAACAAACACTACTTGGTTGATGTACTTTGTATACAACTACTCATCTCAATTCATCAGTAGTTTATAGTTTTTTATGCAATTGTGCTAGTTGATGCTTCTGCTTGTATTTACTTTGATTTAACAGTGTAATTTGATTAAACATTTGCATCATATCCTACAGTTTCAACGTTAACTGATAAGAAATCCAGGGTTACGATATCCGAGCTCGAAAAAGCACATTAACAGATAACAAAAGGATATGTTTAAGATGATTTATATGAAAAATATTATAATGCCCGATAAAATACGAAAGTACAAAATTGTATGTTTTTAATTGATTTATTTTTCTCTTTGAAAAATAAGGCTGTTTTCATAATTTCTTTTTGAATATATATATGTATAAATGCTTCACATATATTTTAGTTGATGAATCACAATAGCCCTGTCATCGCCTACAGATATAATATTATTGCCTTGAGGACTGTAGCGAGCGCACCACACCTGTAAGAGATACAGAAGGACAATATCAGTCTAACAAATGGAAAGAACTAAGGAAGAAGTTGATAAGTTGATGGAACCTGTAACTAGTGTAATCCTTGCGAACAAATGGTTGATAATTAATCTGATGCTCACAGGCGACTGGCTCTATACAGAAAGTTATCTGGAGTACGCTAGTGACAAGTCATTATCAGACGGGTTCAATAAATCAGGCTAGGAGGGAAGTTATTCCCTTATGGCATTGTCTAACAGTTGCAATATATATATTGGTAGTAGCTGGAATTTATGGGCCACTGGCTCAATAGTCTACGGACTGGTATTGTACCTGGAAGACTCTGCGATCAAACGACCGATAAATTAAAACTTTACCTTCTACAATGAGATCGGTATTATTATGATACAAAAGGTGCCTGATAAAACCTTAATACGGACGAGGGAAGTTCATCACGTGGGTTCCACCGAATTGCATCACATATATGGTGACTGAGGTGATACAGTCGATAACTAAATCAAGAGGTCGAGTACAATGGCAATAGTCAGCTTCAAAAAATATCACTAAACACTTCGCTAGAGGTGGAGGCTCGAGTAGGCGTATGTCACCCTAGCTTTCACTATACAGTTAGAAATCCCGTCCGTCACACCTATGTCAGCGTTCACACAACTACCCAGATATACACACTTATCAACAACTTCAAGCGGTTTACCTGCAAGAATGAGTGCAGGTACAGGCTTCTGCCAATCTTGTGACAGTACATTGCACCTAGACGTCACAAAGCACATACCATGTTTACAGACACTGATCGCCAACTGATTATGTGCGATTTGCACAGCCTGCATGGTATCGTACAGTAAAACGACATTGTCTGCATACTTGAGGTCAAAAAGTCTTTCTCCACGAAACAGATCTACAGCCCCTACTACCACCACGTACGTGTTCTTCAGAGCTGACTCCAGAATGTTATTGATGGCAAAGTTAAAGAGAAATGGAGATTGAATAACCCTGTCTAACACCATAGTTGGTCGGGAACAGTAATGATAGCTGGTTGTAGCCCTCACTGGACCTGATGTGTTTTTGTGTAAGGCTTTCAGGATGTTGACAAACTTCTTCGGTATACCCCCCTCTAATAGACAGTTTGAGAGAGCAGTTATGTCCAAAGAAACACAGCGATTGCTGACCTGCAATACGCATAATAGTATTCCAACAACTAACAAAGGGTGAACACATAATCAATGTATCCACGGCCTGAACGAAACCCACCTGGTTCTTTGAGAATCCACTGCTCACGTGTTTTGCACACAGCCTGCGAGATCATAAACGTTTGCCCTTTAGGCAACCGAATTAATGAGAGATGATGAAAAATCAGTCGAACAACTCAGTCGTTTTCTGTCTTCTTTTACGCAAAGCAAGATATAAGTAACACCAACTAGACAAAGTTGAAATAACACTAACCTGATCTTCGTGTTCACTAATACATTGTTTTTCTTCTTTCGATACAATATCCCAAATACGAACAGTACGATCAGTTGACGCAGTGACTAAATGCCTATTATCTGGTGCAAAATCTACGGATACAACCCATCCTTTATGACCATTGAAACTTGGCACAACTAGTCGGCCATCACGTCTACAAGAAAAAAAAAGAGACCTGATGATAATGACCAAAGCAGGTAGCTGTTTTAGAGGGTCACCACCCACCGCCTACATCTTTAAATTGAAGTGTGATCTACAAGGCAGTGGAGCAGCGCCGGGGACTACGTTCCCACGGTTGCTGATGACCAGAGAAAGGTTTATACACCGTTCAATCCTATCAGATTCTGCAGTCCATCTACACCCTACGTTAGACATCAGGGTTAGCATTCACCAATTCACATTTGTTTGGAACGCATTAGATAATTTTATTTGATATTACAAACTATCCAATGCACACAATGCTATTATTTAGAGTGCGCCTTTAGAGCAAGTTACTGCTTCAAATAATAAATAAAATTTGCGCAGTAACTAATCAGTTTCCAAACTTTACTTCTACAATAACATAAAATGAAATATTTTACAGAATGGATTACATCGAAAATCGACGTGAGATAGAGAAACACCACACCAATACTAAAGAGTACTGGATGACTGCTTAGACTAATATGGGGACTCTTATCTTGTGCACGTTCACGCATGACCGGGGATTGAACTCAGATACATCAGATTTTGTGGCAAACTATGGAATTTACTGTGAATCTAACACCAAAATATTTCTAACTACTATCAAATTAATGTGGATCATTGGCTAAAACACTCAGTTCTCGGTCACTTGGTGGTCAAGGAGTTAGAGTTTCAGTCTATCTATATCAGCGTGAGCAACTGGATAATAGTATTATTAGCCCTCAAAGGACAAGTGTGGCTTACAAGTCTGGTAAATGAAAGATCTGTTCCGGGTAGATTGAGTTCAAGCAAACAAAATGCTACTGGTAATTCAGTATGCAGCTAGCCCAACTATCATCCAATAACACTGATGACTAACTGGTTTCAACGTAGAGAGTTGCACTGATGTGCACCAGTTCGAGTTTCCACACCACCTCTTTGTAGCACACAAAACATGAGAAGAGAGTAAAGGGAGGTTGAAAAGAGAGATAATAAACAGAGATATGAGGCAAAAAGAATGGTAATATGGAAGAACAATAGAATTCTGCTGGATATTATAAAGCACAAAGAGTGAATGCATCTGCGCCTGTCATCGAGAACGATTTTCAGCCATATCACCAATTGTCTCTAGGTGTCATTGGTTTTTACCATCCCGAGGACTTCACCTAGTCAGGAAGTCTACACCTCTTTACATGAATGGTTTAAACTAACTTGTGGATTTCATTGACTGGTGAAGCCATATTTTGGTTTGACCACCACTGATTGTTTTCCAACCTGATTCATCCTATGTCGGCTAACAACGGTGACCCAGGAAATAATATCGATGAGTAACGGTCCTTCCACTTAATATCCCTCTTGGTGATATGTTCCCACAAGAACTTTGGGAAATTTATCCCGAAGCTAATCCTTAATTAATCGATTGAAACCTAACAACTAAAATCATCATATCCGTTACACAAAACAGAATAGACAGAAGAGCGAACAGGGTAAATAAAAACGCCTATATCTGTGACACCTTTTTCAGCATTTGAAAATTAAACCTAAAGTAGACAGACTGAGTTTCAAAATAGGAGCTTGCAAAGAAGTGCAGCAGTTGAAGTTGCCACACTCCACGCAGCACACGAAGATGAAGGCGAAAGAAAAAAATGAAAAAAAACTACAATGAGAGGAAATGTACTGGAGAAAGAACAACAACAAAAAACTCCTTGTAGTGCTACTCAAGTGAATTTACTGAGGTTATAATACTTTAGAGGGATGAAGTAATTTATTGTACTGATTTGCTTAACTAGTAATTGTGTTTATATCTTCGGGTTAGGCGAGAAGGGCCTTTAGGTTAAGGATTTGTTAAAAAAATAAATGATTGATTTGTTTACTTGGGATTACTTATTTTCTCAAAAAAGTTGAAGTTGTGAAGCTACGTCGACTGAAATGGCTACGGCATGTGTTATGCATGCCCAGCCATCGCCTCGATCAAGAAGCAAGTCAGAATGGAAAAAAAATTAAATTAGATTCCTTATTGTTGTCATCATTCTGTGCATGCTTGTCACGCATGTCGTTATTATTATTACTGTGGAGTGTGCTACTGATAAAATCTATCAGTAGTATGCAAAGAGACGTTCACCGACATAAAAGCATCAAATATGAGGGAGACAGATTTGATGTGACAGAGAACAAATGATTCAGAGTTGTGGCGAAACATGGGAGACACGAAAAGGGGAAAAAGGAACACAATACGATGAGCAGAAGTAGCACAACATGGAAGATCTGGCATATGACGATTTGCAGGCAAGGTGTACATAATTTTGCGATAAATTAATGCCAAATCCCAAATAAACATTACTTTAGCAAGTCTATTGTCTTCTACCGTTACAATACTACCACTATTACTATTAATAATTTTCCTACATACTAACAATAAGGAATTGGAATCGTCAGCAGTAGTTATATACAAGAAAGTAACCTCGGAAATGGCGTTCTTAACAACGCAGGAGTAAAAGTGGCATTGAAATCCCCCCACCCACCCTAGAAACTCAATTAGAAACAAGCTTTGTCGGTTGAAGGATCCTATGGATCCTACCGAGATTGTCAGGTCAAATATTTGGATCAAAGTAGTTGGACGGGGTCATCGTCAATTGGACTAGCGGAGCACAAAATCCTAACAGCAAAATCTAGATTAGTCGACCCTAAGAAGATAAGAAATCTGGAGAACAGCTCAGTTATATCACTATATGGTTTCATACAGAACTAACTGTACAATAGGATAAAATAATAAGATGACAGTCATAAAATCTAACATAACAGGGTGCAGGGAGAGATTGATGACGTAAGCTTGATCTATCGAGTCAACTGCAAGTACTTGTAGTAGGGAATGATTCAACACTTGTCCATCTTGACATCTAGTATACTGTACTATCCTTTATGAAGAATAGGAAGGAATGAAGAAAACTATAAAAGGAAAGTCTCAAAGTTGCGTAGTTATAATTGAGATATGATTATTAAGAAAAAGATTGTGTTTGAAACGTCATTCAGTAAAGAATAATACGTTGTCACTGTGTGATATACATGTAATAAACAAATTAATATGGAATTACAACTTCAAGACTAACAGGGAAACTTGTCCATCCTGACAAAGGGAGAACACTCTTATGAAGAAAACAAGACGTTTAAGCTATACGATACTCAGCGAATTTGCTTAGATTTTCAAAATTAGAAAAGAAAAACAATGAAAATCTATCTAATGATATAAAGAAAAAATGCGATAAAAACTCTTCGAATAAACCAAGTGTACTAGGTACTTACACATCGAAAACTTTAATTTGTTTATCATCAGAAGCCGAGGCCAGTAGCCTTCCATCAGGCGAGAATGAAACTGATCGTACAGGTGTAGCATGTCCGTCAAGAAATTGAACACTGCCAGTTTGTAATTCACATATACTGACAAGTCCATTAATTGTTCCAGCTGCTAGCTTTGATCCATCAGAACTCTAGATTATTGTAGTAAAGAGAAGTGTGGCATGTGCTACTGATAAGACTTGCCAGTAGTATATAAAGACATTCATCGGGATAAAAACATCAAATACTTACTTTACTTCGGCTATCTCCTACGGGAGGATGAGCCGGCTTCATGAACATCTCGAATCATCGCTGCCCAGGCACGGCGATCTCATGCAAGGTTTTGCGACAGGGTTATCCAATTCTTGTTCCACAGACAAAGTCCGTAGACGGTTTGTAGCCTTGACTGTACCAAGCCATGTTTTCAGCTGTCCACCCCTGCGACATCGACAAGATGGAAATGGCGAGGGATTTAGAACTGATTTGACCAGATCGTCATCTGGTCGGCGCAGAACGTGGCCAAACCACCGAAGGCGACGTTGCTGGACCAGTACTGGAATTTGGTTGATGTTGTAGAGAGTTCATGAAGTTTCATGGGAATTAGGTACGAGTGACGTCCCCAGCATTGCTCGGCCTTTTGTTTGAGAGTGCAGCTCTAGCCTTTACACAACCAAGTGTGACCTACAAGGCAGTAGGAGTGGAGCAGGGAGTCCACTATCCATTGGCAGCCGTGACCGGAGTCCGGTTCATACGCCTTTTTGAATGGGGCCAGACATCCAGGGCATCCAATAATCCCTTTGTCCATACGTCTGACGGTGAGCTCCGGTGAGCTTCATACGCCAGTCGTTGCAGGTTTGGAATCAGGGTTTAGCCATCTCCCTAGACTGTCATCCAATGGACAGTCAACCCGGTGAAGAGCGCCGGGCATCCGCTTTTGCCCTCTCACTTCGGTGAAAAACACCTCCGCCAAGTGAAGGCAGTGAGTAGGACTTCCTCAGGAGAGGCTATGTAAGACATCAAATAGTAGCAGGGAGATAGATTTGACATTAAAGAAAGCAAATAATACTGAGTTGTGGAGATTCATGGGAGACGTGAAAGGAACACAATATGAAGGCCAGAAGTAGCACACAACATGGAAGATCTGCGCAAATGGTGCGTTGAAGATAAGGGGTACATAATTTCGCTTTTATTATTTTTCCTTCACGTTCCCCAGTGGAACATAGGGCTTTAAGCTAGTGGCTTGAAGTTTCTGTAGCAGCGTTTATTTTTACATGATGGGGTTGCTAGCCATATGCCCAACCTTTCCTCTTTACCAGCATTATTTCTGGCTTAGCGAGGTAAAGGAGTGCATCTGTGGCCGGGGATCGAACCCCAGACCATGTACATGGTCGGCAAGCGTCCTAACCGCTGTGCCATCAATGCACTAATTTCGCTATACAGAGATACTAATTCTCTCGTCTGCTACCGTTACCGAAGGAAATAGTGTAGTGGACATGTGCAGAAGTGGATTGCATGTTGAAAAGTGATGAAATTACCTAATTGTGAGACAAAAACGTTTTAGTAGTCCTGTTGAGATAATCATATCAAAGGAGTAACAGTATTCATATTGACTTTTTTCCAGCAAGTTATTTTATTTACCATAGATAATATTTAGATTTTGTGGTAAAACGAAATAAGAGATACTACCCAGTCGTCAATGCTGAAGTATGTGGGTGGAACGGCATTCGAACTCGGTCAGCGGGACAAAAATGGTACACATACGACTCCTATTCATAGTAATTATGAGCATACGCATAACTTTGACGCTATATGCCCGCTTTTGATTCGCCTGACAAAACTGACTGACTGACTGTTGATATACTTGACAGTTACAAATCACCTTGAGGTTCAGCATTTCGATTTATGAGAACTTGATTCTGCTATGGACAGAAATTACTCAAAGATGATGAGTTTACTCATGTTCTGAAAGTTTAAGGAAATGATCTCATAATCAAACTTATTTGATGGATGATGACAAGCTATTTCGTCCTATTTGGTTACTCACCGCCAGCTGGATATATACCTGTCCACTGAGACTTGAACCCAAGACTCATTTTCCAAACGTTAGGTCCAATTGGTTCAAGAGAGCCACCTCTCATAAAAAAGGGTATCAGTTAAGTTAATTTTGTATTCCCTGTTGATTGATTATATTGCATCGAAATATTCGGTTCCATCGAAGCATTCGTACTAGAAGTTGACGTATCAACACAGACCGAACCGTTTTGAACCTGAAATCCAGTGACTCAAAGACTATTGCTTAAACCAGTGTGAACCACACCACAACAACTCCTATCTTAGATATTCAAGTGTTGGTTTGTAGGGATCTGATTGGTTACAGGATTTCATCATGAGCTGATATTAGTTAGAGAACCATTGGAAAACCTGAGAGTACTGGACAGCTGCCTAGTCCCAGTTTAGGACTCTTTAGCAGTACGCACCCACCGGGGTTCGAATCCAGGACCTTCTGGTTACAAGGCTAGCGAGCTCGTAGACCATTAAGCCACTGGGACCCGATCCAATGGTCAGCCCATGAATTCTAACTTCTGACAATTCACGACATAGCACGACCACTAGCCAATATGATTGATGGCAAGTATTTATCCTCACGCCCGACCTTCTGCACCCTACTGGTCAGTTCGTGATGAAATCCTGTCTTAGAATTTGACAATATTTTTCAATCTTCAGTCACCTCCACCTAAGATAACTACCATATCTGCAATTGATATTTCATGTTAACACTCCTTCCCCTTTACCCACTAGTTGACTGTAGTCCTACAACTTTTTTAAACTGTCGTCTTATTAGTAAAATACTTGATTCATTAATTAATTTATGTAATCAGTCACGGTATTTATGTTGATTAAGGAGGTCAGAGTCTAATAAACTTTCAACAAAGCTGAAAAGATAAATTCCTGTTTGATGATGAACTGATGTTAGCTAGAAAACCATTAAAAACCAGATAGCACTGGACAGTACTGTTTCGTCCTAGTTTTTGGGACTCTCCTTAGTAGTACGCCCCCCCTCCCAACAGGGGGTTTGAGACCACAAATTTCCGGTTACAAGACAAGCTCGCCAAAGACGATTCATGCGCAGCTGCTGAGACACCTCATTCAATAATGACTGTTGAATCCCAACTTCTCTATCAAATTTGTGATATTCAGTGGAATACCCTTTAAAATATTATATAATAATAATTTTTTCCTAAAGTGGCGGCTTACATAAGCAAGACAATAGACAAATTTTCCTTCTAATTGAATTGAACTTTCTTTTGTTGCACTTTCTACATTGATCATATTAACACAACCTGTATGACTTCCTGTAGCTAAAAATCTTGAATCCGGAGAAAATGCAACAGACCATGTATCCGCTGGATCGCCGTCATAAGTATTTTTCTGTTTACCTGTTTGTAAATCCCATAATATTATCTAAGAATTAAAAAAAGGTATAAGTAAGTGAGTTAGTAAGTTACATGACTGGGCGTTTTTATATACATTTTTTAAGAAAAGATTTCTTTGAAATGTGAAAATATAAAAGTCGGTTAAAGCAAATAAACAACCTGAGTCACAAACTGTTTATCTTATAAGAGTGGACTGATGCCAAACACTAAAACAATTTCCGAGTCTAAAATAAATTCTTCTGAATTCTCTTAGTGAAGATAAGTAGGACACTGAGTGGTTTCACCGTAGAACTTTTGCACTGATGTGGACCAGTTCAAGTTCCCACACCATCTCCTTGTAGCCCACAAAGCAGAAGAAAGTAAAAAGAGATATAGGGTAAAAAAGAATAGTAATATGGAAGAACAATAGAATTTTATTGGATATTATAAAGCACAAAGAGTAGATGCATCTGCGCCAGTCATCGAGAACGATTTTCAGCCATATCACCAATTGTCTCTAGCTGTCATTGGTTTTTACCGTCCTGAGGACCCCAACCAGTCAGGAAGTCTCCATCTCTTTACATGAATGGTTTAAACTAACTTGTGGATTTCATTGACTGGCGAAGCCACGTTTTGGTTTAACCATGACTACCTCTTTCCCAATCTCATCTATCCTATGTCAGCTAACATTACCCGTTGTCGAGGAAGGTGATGGCTAGGCATACGTAACACATGTCCTAACTATCTCAATCGGTGTAACTTCACAATCTCGTCGATTGATTTCCCCTCCTTACCTAGCACTCGACGCCTCACCTCGATATTGCTCACCTTACTATACCACCTAACACGGAAGATAGAACGCAGACACCTATGATCAAAGACAGCTAGCCATTCTTTTCGTGTCTCCCATTTTCAATAGCCATGCCCCACACCTATGAAGGAGGACGGAGGAAACTACTGAGCAGTGCACACGCCCTTTAGTCGACAGCCGGCGGATGTCACGTCTACGCCAGAGATGACATATGCGAAACAAGCCTCCTGTATTCCTGCTAAGATTTCGTCAGCGATTAGCCGGCTGGCACTGGCTGATGCAAATTCTCAAACAAGTGAAGTAGTCAACACTTTCTGCTACTTCACTCTCTATCTTTAAGCTAGCAGTCAATGTAGTTCATTCCTGTAGCATCATCTTACATTGACTGAGTGTAGCTAAATCCATTTCTTGTAATCTTTTTTTCTTACCATCATGCTTTTATATTAACAGGCATTTATTTCCGTCGCCTTCATATACAGTGTAGAAGTAATGCCAATATTTGTTGCTTACTAGTAAATTATTGATGTATGATGGAATAACAGTTTAGAGAATTTCAAATATTTCATATCCGAAATAGTAGTTCATATTAGTATTCAAGATAGATCCTGAGGGAAAAATGCTGTATCCTGGTCATTACCTTGTCAGGAATCGGATTTGCAAGTCAGTTAGTACTTCTGTATTGTACAAGAGACTTGGCGTATCACCAAAAGCATTTCTCACAGGCTTCAAACTCTTATCAACAACTGCCTTCACTGTTTATCGAGGGTCAAATGGCCACCCGTAAGGAATTAACAGCTAAGAAACTGTGACAGGCAACGAACCAATGGAGAATCAATCTATTACCTAACAAGTATACCGAAGAGAATGAAGATAAGTGGAACACATGATGAGGAAACCACTGATTGACATCCTGCAGCAGGTCATTACTTGAGTGGAATTTAAATAAGAAACAACGAGTTGGTGATACGTCTATGGGCAATCGTGATGGCAGCTAAAGAAGACTGAAGAGAACAGGATAACATGGAGTTGTACTGTTAAAGCGGCGCTATGTTTCACTCGGGACCTAAAGAAATTATAATATTTACCTTATTAACTGACGCTTTGAGTTAGTTATCCAGACAGTGGTTCCAGAAGCTTGTATCTATTTTCGTCTGACTACCGATCTGAAAGGAGCTTTAATTTTTCTGACTATTAAAATTATAACTAACAGTAGAATGGATTGTAGCTGATCAGCTTTGAGTATTTTATTTCCGAATACTAAGTCATTATTTCAAACTAAGTATTCAGTTGAGAACCTACAAGCTGGATAGTGTTTCGTCAGCAGAAATCAAATGCACAATTTGCAGTTTACACAGGTCGAAGTGCTCTAAACATCGAACGATGGGTTACGCTAAGCTCATCATCAGCAGTATGCTCGGTTTGACTCAGCTCAGAATCACTTCAGTTACTTTTAGGCGAACTGATGATACCACCATACATCAAAATTGCAATTTACACAGTTCGTGATCATTTATCTGACTATAGTCTCCTTTTTAAACCAAGATCATTCATATCATAATGCATGCGACCTATTTGGTACCATAAATGGTAAATCAAAAAACCAAGCGTAAATGCAACAAACGATATACTTTTTTTTATTATGGCTTGATTCCACACCGTATTTTTGTTACAAGTATGGAATTTTCAGCATGTGATATCGGTAGCCCAATTTTGCAGGCCGACCGTTGATATCGGGCGTGCGTCGGCAGGCGATCAAACCCCGTACCATATGCATGGTCGGCGAGAGTTCTAACCCCTACTAACTAATTGAGATGAGTAGTTGCACACTACACTACACAACACATCAACTAAGTAGTGTTCACTACTAGCCAGATAAAAGTGTTTAGATAAACTTTTCTGAATAAAGAATTAACCACTCGAGTTATTTACTTATTTATTACCCTGACAAATTTATTGATAAAAAAAATAATAATAATACAAACAAACAGGAAAAAAAAGAAACGTGGATAACTAACTTGACTGTCAAGACTGCTGGAAGCAGCCAATGTTCCTTTTGCATTTATATCAACAGAAACAACACCAAGTCTATGCCCTTCAAAATCATACAAGCGTTTTAACTTATCATCCGTCCTAAGGTCAGGAGAGAAAAAGGGAAAGAAATATTTATTGGCGAAAAATCTCACTGGAATTAAAAAGAAACTGTATATTATAAAGGAAAAAAAGAACTTTGATCAGCTGCATTAGTGTCCACTGGAATATCGAATTATTTACATAGTAGAGTACTGTATCGTATTGATTTTTTACTCACGTTAGTGGCTTTGTACACCTTAAAGTGTGGACGTGTATAAAGATCGAATGGGTGTGAATCGTGTACAGTAAGATACCCTATTGAACAGTTACTATCAATCTGGAAATAATTCACTTCTTTACAGGCAATATCTTCAAAAGATGCGCACATATAATATGGCGACTGTTAACACCCTAGAAGATATCCAACTTTACTGATAAAAAAAACTTAAAACTATTGTAGTGTAAAGGCTTTTATGTTGTTGTTTTTTTCCTTCGAATCCCGGACCATGTGCATGGTCAGCGAGCGTCCTAACAGCTATGCCACCGACGCACATACGTTGTTGTTAATAGAAGTAATATATGATGAAGATGATGATGAAATTTACACTTACCATTCCCAAGCAATAAGACTATTGTCTAAGGAGCCAGTGACAATATATTGTTTGTTTTTATCTCGATTTTCACCCCATGCACAGCACTGAATCCCTTCTTTGTGCGCTATAGTGTGTGTGTGGGGGGAGGGGAAATCAAATAAGAATTCAGTAAATTAAGAGAAAACAGTAAGCTTATGTGATCATCATATAAAAGGAGAATCGCCAGAACTTTGTGTGGAATTAAATCAAAGGTTAGAGATTGGTGAGATACTAAAGTGTAAGAGTGGAACTCAAAAAACACCGCATATACGAATATAGAGAGAAGTGGGTTAACAACACTACTCATTGGCTAACTATTGAAAGATATTTGGAACCTTTTTGCTGAATACTACCACCAGAGGGCTAATAGTATAACCTGGATACCTGTTAGGACATAGTTTTAAACCTTGATTCACATTAAGTTTGAGCAAGTGAATACTATATTCGTCTTTATGGAAACGAAGATAATTTCAGGGATTATCATCATATGAAACCATACATGATTTCAGTGTAACTAACCGGATTCGACTTACAACAGGAAAAGAGCACTCATTCAATTAATGTGTTCACCTAACCTTATAACAACTCTGACATTTCTTTCAAAGTGATTGTGTTCGTGTGTCACCCTATCAATTGACGCTTCGGTAATGCTCCGCGTTATGTCTACCTACGTAAACAATGTTTCAACTACTGTCTCTAACTGTACTGACAAAAATTCACGCAGCTATTCTTTCATAATAACGAATAAAAAGTTATTGTGAATTAAAGGCGAGAAACTTATCAGATATAACTGGAAACGATAAGAGTGCTGGAAATTTTTTGATTTCTTCATAAGCCAGTTAGAAATATGATGAGAATACTGAAAGGCAGCTTCGAGTGATGCAAACCCATAGAACATTGCATTACCAGACTACAGATCGCCGGAGTCATTAAAGTAAAGCTACATTTCATAACATAAATATGTGAGTCGAATATTTCTAACGACAAAAAAGAGTTCTGACCAGATATAGTTTCGAGTCGTCATTAACGGCACTACCACTATACATCATTCCCTTTGATAGAAGCAGTTTATAAAAGCTATTTGCCTGCAATGGATTCGACCGATTCTGCAAGTGAAGGTGGTTACAACTTGTTTGTTTCCTACAAAATACAATTCAGATGCCACGTGCATGTACAAACACTGCAGGACAAGCTCCACTTTATTTATGGCGTACAATAATGATCCTGACCACTTTTCTTAAAGCCTGGGTTTCTGGAAAGCGTGAATCACCAGGTGAGGGTCAAGTATTGAAAGCAGCAAGTCACAACCTAGCACATTATATTATTAGAATAATACCTCAAAAACACTTAATACGCAATAACACTCTGGGAAACATTAGCCCATCTATTAAATGACTAGTAAATACTTATAATAGTGTCTCAATAACTATCAATAACGAAGTAGCCGTTAATCGCAAACACAGAAAGCTGAATTTCAAAAGCAAACTGAAACTACATAAATTTGGTTCCCTTCGTAAATCCCGATAAAGAAAGGTAGACGAAATATGAAGTATAAAATGATATCATCCTATTTCACAGGTTCTCATCAGCTGCAGACTACCTGAAATTACAATGGTTATATAAATGGTAATAACAAACTTCAATGTTTAAGTGGTAGTAGAGAGGAAATACTATAAAATTGACCCATCCAAAATGTAAGCATTACAATTTTTAGTTTAAGTTTTCATCCTCAATATATACAATTTCAAAGTAGAAAAAAGGGGGTGAGCTTGTATGTTCACACAGAAACTCAAAAAAAAAAAGCGGTTACAGTTTATAAGATTGGCATTTTCTCAGTGAGTTGAGATCACTGAATTAGATGACTAATTAGTGTAATCAAAACCACAATCCAGTTAACAAGGTAGTGAGAGATTAACCGCACTCTTTTTGTATGCCTGAGTCTGGTTGGTTTGAATCGCTTGATTGCGATCGCTTCGACAAATCGTAGTAAATTTACTGTTCTTTGCTTATTTACTATTTTGAAGGACTTAGGAATCTTTACGAGATGACCAGTATCAACAAGATGTCTGATAATTTCACTCTAAGAATATTTGTTTCCTTTCAGACACAAGTTTCTTGGGATGTGTTCAGAAAATCGGATAGAAGCCCTTCTTTCCGTCCTTTCCAGTGTACTTGCCCCCGCAAGTGCACGTAAATTCATAAACGCAGTTAGAGGTGACATCAGCAGGGTATTTATCCAGTTTAGGGCGGCTTATAGAAGAAGCGGTGCTGTATAATGTTATGAGTTTAGCAGCAAGGAAGCTTCTTTCTATTGCTCCTTTCATTCTCTTGTCAATCTTTTGTGATACTGCATCTCCTTTGAATGGGAGACAAATAAACACTTTCTTTTTTTCAACAGTTGGGTTTTTTGCTTTCTTATCTTTTTCTGTGCTATACGTTTTTTTATAAATCCCTTTGGGCATCCATTCACTCTTAGGCATTTCTTGACGAAACCTAATTCTTCGTCCATCTTGCTGGGTGAACATAGCTTCTTGGCTCTGTCGTGCAAAGTCCTCACTACTACACACTTATAGCTTATGGGTCAAAAGTTGTTATAGTGAAGATATTGCCCAGTCCAGGTTTCTTTCCTGTAGATGAACTTTTCGATAGAAAAGAAACTTGTGCCTGAAAGGAAGCAAATATTCTCAGAGTGAAATTACCAGACATCTTTTTGGTACTCGTCATCTCGTAAAGATTCCTAAGTCCTTCAAAATAGTAAATAAGCAAAGGACAGTAAATTTACTACGATTTGTCGAAGCGATCGCAATCAAGCGATTCAAACCAACCAGACTCAGGCATACAAAAAGAGTGCGGTTAATCTCTCACTACCTTGTTAACTGAATTGTGATTTTGATTACATTAATTTAGTCATCTAATTCAGTGATCTCAACTCACTGAGAAAATCTTAATCTTATAAAATGTAACAGCTTTTGTTTTTTGAGTTGGCATGTGAACCTACAAGCTAACACTGTGTTAATTTTTTCTGTTTTCTGTCTTACTCCTCCCCCTCTTTTCTACTTTGAAAGTGTATAAATTGATAGTGAAAAGTTAAACTAAAAATTGTAGTACTTACACTTTGGGTGCGTCAATTTTATAGTATTTCTCCTCTATCACCACTTGAACATTGAAGTTTGTTATTACCATTCATATAACCATTGTAATTTCAGGTAGTCTGCAGCTGATGAGAACCTGTGAAATAGGATGATATCATTTTATACTGCGAATTTAATCTTCCTTGGTTTATGTAGATACTGAAATATATATATATATATGTAGTGATTGGGGTAGATTGGTTAGATTATTATAGGAAATTAGCAGGAAACCTTTGACTTAGAGTTTTGTGGTTGGTGGCACTCGTCGGTAAGACGTACCTGCAAGTTGAATGAACTCATGTTGCCTCTGGGATCTAAACGCGTGTCCTATAGGTCAATTGTGAGGCGAAATAGGTCAGTGGTAACCCCTCTATGACTGCAGAACTGGTTGACACGGATGTGGATTTCAGAGGGGGAGACATTTGTTACTTGAGATTGTAGGTACGCCTTACTGATTGGTGAATGAGTGCCTACAAGCATGAAACCTCTAGGTCCAAGAATTCCTACCGATTGCCAATAACCATTTAATAACAAACCTCTACAGTGAGTCATGATGGCGGACAACCTAGAATGGTAGCCACACTGCAAACTTTACTGATAAATTAATTCAGTATGTACCAAACAAAGGACGAGACGCATGACACTAGTTAATTACTACCTACTATCCAATCACATTATAGGACATTTATTTTACTACACAAGAATGAATGAAATTTTAAAAAAGACTGAACGCTCACCTTCTTTATCTGTATATTTTGTGGAATACTGTGAAATAGAATAAAATGTTAGTGTTCAGAAATAATTTAAGAATATTAGGCATTAATTAAATAAACCAAGTAGTGACAGTTAAACATAACGTAAAATGTAACTTCATATTCCACTATTCACAGTGTCATAGGCTTTTTAGTTGTCAGTCAACAAAGAAAGCATAGGGATGAACTCAGCCTTGACTTTTAAGCTGAGTTGTTTTCAAAAGTAGGAAATATTTTGGGTGTTTGAAGTACACGGACTATACGGTTTCAGTAAGAGTAGGAAGAGAAGAAAGAAAACCAAATATTTAGAGGTATTCAGCTATGCTTAAGTCAGTAGGGGTCAGAAATATTACCGTGAGTAGAAACGCACTGATGTACATACATTCTAACTTGATAAAATGAATTGTGATATTGCAAGCCTTTACTTACCTCATGATTTTTCTGCTGTGCAGCGTTTAACGACTTCTGATGACATTACCAATACAATGTTTTTTTTCTAATCGCCTTTTGCCTAATGTGGCATGACAAATCAAACCGCTATACAAAAATATTAAGTCTTATTTTAGTAGATTTGTGTATCAGGTAACTAACTAACTAGTGCGTCGGTAGTATAGCGGTTAGGATGCTCGCCGACCATGAACATGGTCCGGGGTTCAACCCGCGGCCGACGCACTCCTTTACCTCGATAAGCCAGAAATAATGCTGGTGGAGAGGAAAGGTTGGACATGAGGCTAGGAACCCCATCCTGTAAAATAAACACTGCTACAGAATCTTCAAGTCACTAGCTTGAAGCCCTATGTTCCACTGGGGAACGTGAAGGAAAAATCAAAAATCATTAACTGACTAACAAATTAAGGCAGAACTTTGCACAGAAGTGTACTAGTTTAGGTCACCACATTGTATAAAAAGCCACAAAAGACAGTAGAAACGTGAAGACACTAAAACAGATGTATGAGGAAGACTGTAATTATATGAAGATTTTTAGCGGGCCGTATGACAAGCATATCATCGGGAATTTAAGGATTGACTCTTAGCATCCCACCAAACCCAACCATATAGTCAACACCATCTTTACGTGGCTCAAACCAACAGTTAGGCTTTGTGGGTGGTTGGGTCACCTTTTGAATCCCTAGCTTTTCTACAAACTAAAGGTACGTTATCTAGAATAGCTCGCTTAAGATGGTGGTGGCATAGCATGCTTAAGCACGTAGATCAGTAGAGATCCAATCACATCGATTAACTTGTCTTTCTTCCATAACACTGCGCTTAAGTCGAATTATTATTATTAATTATTAAGTGTTTCATGTAATACAAGCAACTAAACGAAAACGCATGAAGTCAAAAGTGTGTAGTCTCTTCAGATCTACTTTCAGATATCTTACAGTATTTATAAGGATTACTGCACACTATAGATCCCCTTTGAATGATAGCTAGATATCGTCTCAATGTCAGTGTGTATAAAATACCAAATGATATTGTCCTTACTAAAATTAGCCATCACTTTAACCGCTAAAGTATTACTGACCAGAGTACCAAGAAAGGACAACGACGTACTGAGTAACAATAAAATATGCTCATAATTGATTTTACTAAGGAAAATTGATCAATTTCTGTTGGCTTTTTAAACGTACATCTCAATATTTCCTTAGGTTCCACTGTGATGTTCCTTGGTACTGATTACTTGTGTCATAAAATACAGAGTTCTTTCTATCTAGGCTTACTGAAGTTGTAATTTTAAGGGGGCCTTAGTGACTTTGTGACAATAAATGAAAAACCACAAACTAGTGGTTTTCACGAAGAACATAAATATGTTAAAGGTTACTTTTTGTGCACGGCAGAAACCCTGATTTGCTAAAATGACAATGAAAATCAACGTAAGTCGTTTTGTACATTAATGAGTACGAGTGATTGTTTAACTGATGGCTTCACCTAGGTCCATCATTTATGAATGTACACATGCAGCACCCACGGTAGGACACTTCCTTGAAAATACACTGAAATGAAGTGTAGGTACTACGAAAACATACTATATATACTGTTAGACATATTAGACTTAACAATTAAGAAGCAGACCACACTTTAAGTTGGAGTGAGTCTGTAATGTGGACACTGAAATGGTCGGACGACTTCCGGACTTCCTCTACAAAGAATGGGTAAACTGACTGGTTTGTGTTCATAGTCATATTAAGGAATGGATAAAGAATTTATATCAACCTCATGTATTTCATCCAGTAACTTCAATGTGAATTTAAGACATTTGTTTCTTCTCTAAATTGTTTCCTTTAATCGCTGGAGGAACATGGGGCCTTAGCCACACGTCTCCATTGCGTCAGGTTCTCCACGAACGTTTTCACCTGGCTCCACGTCTGCCTACATGCTTTCATCTCCTCTTGACATGACCTCCTTCACATCACTCTCGGACGGCCAACTCGCCGCTTCCCGTTCGGGTTCCACTCTATCGATGGCCTGACGTGTGATGTCACTTGATGGTTTTCTCAGAGTATGACCGATCCACCAACATTTCTTCCTGCATATTTGTTGCTCTATACAGAAACACCTCAGGTAGAGTAAGGACATACAACTAACTATCATCACTGGATTGTTCAACCTCCATTTCTCTTAAACTTTGTTATCGATAACATTCTGGAGTCAACTCTGAAGGATGTGCGTGAAGGTGATGTAGATCTGCTCCCTGCAGATAGACTTTTAGAGTTCAAGTATGCAGACGATATCGTTTTAGTGTGCGATAGCATACAGGCTGCCCAAATCGCACTTAATCAGTTATCGATTAGTGTCTGTATGTTATATGCTTTGCACCGTCTAAGTGCAAAGTACTGTCACAAGATTGGTAGGAGCCTGTACCTGCACTCATTCTTGCAGGTGAATCGCTTGAAGTTGTTGATAAGTTTGTGTATCTGAGTAATTGTGTGAGTGCTGGAAGGGTGACGGATCAGATTTCCAACCGTATAATGAAGGCTAGGGTGGTACACATCAACTTGAGCCACCTGTGGCACCGTCGCGACTTTAGCCTATCTGTCAGAGGTTCGACGGTGTGTTTGAACTCAGTGGAGATCACCATTTGTTGAGTGTAGTCATCTGAAAAACATCGGCTTCGATGGCATTATTTACTGGTGTTAGAAACGTCATGCAGTAAATAATACTGCTTCACTGTGTAATATATCTTATAAACAAATTAATATGGAATTCGTCTACACTCTGTTGGAGGCCTGTGATCGAAAACGTACTGTCGGTTAATAGGGATACGACAGTGATGAGATGTTTCTTTCAGGTGGCCAGTGGGTTAGATATGCCGCCCCTACTTTGGAGATGTGTTAGAAAAGATTATTCCCGGAAATTGTACATCCTAACTAAGATCACTGCAGTAAATCACAATGCGGACACAACTCCGAAAACGAACTCAAACGAGAAATGTGCAACCGGCCTCAATCAGTTATCCCTTGCGCTGATTTTACACATCATTAATATTCCATCTGTTTTAGGCGCCCCAAGAAAAATCAACTTTCACAGTGGGCCGTCGGGAAGTAATAACTGCCCTCACACATCAATTAGGCACACAAAGATTTCCTGATCATCACTCCCTGAAAAGTCACAGATAGTTTAATTGTAAGATCTGTGAAAAGACACCACACGAACAGTCTTTAATTGACTGCACATTGTAATTCAGTAAACCTATTTTATGATGCAACTGAAATTCTCTAAATTTAGTGTTGAATGAGAACCGGGAGTATACAAAGGATGAAAGCACTGTAGGATACAGGAGAGAAGTTTATGAACCTAGGACTTCTTATGACAGAAGAGGGACAAAATCCCAGGGTATCTTTAAACATAAGCATTATCTTCCTGTGAAATCCTCAAAATTACGAAAATTGTGAAACTGCGCATTCACGCGGTAAGGCAGTAAGTTAAAATATTATTAAGGCAAATTACACCCAATTTTTCTCCACAAATTTCACACAGTACCAGCATTATCTTTGCGGTGGAGAAAATCGAGATTTTTTCGGCAAGCAAATACAACCATTGTCCCCTTGAAATTAGTGCTTACACATCACTTTATTAAGTTCGAGATAGTAAGGCGATGAAAAAAGACCTCTACAAAATAGTAATCACACAGTTCTTGACGTTTTACTAAGCAGTATGTGAATCTGTATCGCTTGACACATTTCAGAAACAATACAAAGTGCATACGTATCATCAAGCAACTGAGGCAACTGCAATAAACGTTTTGGCTACTACCTGGGACGAAGAACACAACTATCAGCTTATTTCTTCCTAGAGGAAATTAAATTGTGTGTCAATGAAGAAACAGACGAATTTTGGAAACTAGCTTTACCTTCGAAAAAAAACACGTCAACAAAACAATCAGCACATATACACTCAGGGGAACAAAAGAAAACGCATGGCCTGGAAGTAATTGTTGTATTGTAATAAGTGTACAAAACTTATGAAATAGTATGCAAATAATAGTGATACATTCGTTTATCCAAAGAATCAAATAACTGATGCATCACATCCACGTGTCTGACATCTACAACAATTGGGAGGGAATGCATAGTTTAAGCTGAATCAGGCCTTCAAATACTTTGGAGGTAATGTTTCAAGTAGAGAGAATTAGAAATTTATAAAAGACAGCATCGAATTCAATCAAGAACACATAGGTCACAGGAGAATAACTGTTCCGATTGCTGTAATATTCTAGATCAGGAAAAGTAAATTTTTCGAAAGGCTTGATTCGAGATTGGAAGATTCTTTTCGGTAATCATGTGTATTAGTTGACTCAAACACCTCACAGTTTTAGGGAGCTCAAGGAGCACAGAAAATAGTTACACATCAAAATGATCTGCCACCAAAGTTAAACAACAAGGACAAAACTTCTCTACTGACAATCAGCTAGTATCATGCTAATATGACCGTATGCTAACAGGTCTCAGGGAAGAATGTGTTTGATTTATTTAACTTATAGATCAATTGGAGCTAGCCAAACATGCATATGCG